GGTATTTCCAATCTGAAAGCTTAAATTTCAAAACCTAATTAAAAATTTCTTGAATAAAAAAAAATGCAAATTTACTTTTCGCATTACGATGTTGTTTGCAATATTCAAAATGAAAATTAAAACAGGTAAAAGTGAATGAGATCGAAATTAATCAATCATCAAGTTTAAGTGTTAAATTTGATAATTATTCAACATGTTTTTCCAACCAATTTATATACTGAATGAAATACATTAATGTAAAATTAAAATAATACCTGTATTTTGCTAAGTGCAGCCGAATAACCACGTTCACCTTTGGAACCGGGATATCCTGATGGTCCCATTGGACCACGCTCACCTCGTTCACCTTTCGGTCCTGGCATACCCTACAATATTTTTCATTTAATTTTATTGCAAGCCAAGAAAAAAAAATAGGACAAATTTTCATTAACTTATTATTATAATCATCTCAGGTTATTGTTTGTTATAATTCCCCATTCATATCGATCGATAATGCAAATTGGGGTATTATCATTCGTTTCAAGAGCTTTTGTTGCAAACGATATCCCGCAGAGAATTGTCCCGGTAATTTGATGGATTTCCCATTTTTGTTTTCTTTTTTTTTTCATGGTACCAAAGATCATTACGCAATACATTGACGATATTTATAGATTTATTTCCACCGGATAAATTATATTAATTAGTTAGCTGTCATAATGATTGATGGGTAACATTCAAGAGCTGAATGATATGGTGATAAATTTATTATTTTCATTTTATTCACTTGATTTTTATCTAAATTAAAAATAATTTTGCATTAATTAACTTTAACGATAATCAATAGTTCAGAAATTGTTTTAGTCGAATTTTGTAATAACCTACCGGAACACCTTTTGGTCCATCCAAGCCAATTGGTCCCTAAAAATGAAAATTAATTTACAGAACTCTAAATTATAATATAAAGAAAAAGGAAAAATTGAAATAATGACAAGAAAAAAATTACTTTTTTTGTATATTTAATATTTTTAATAAAATTCGGTGGTAATAATTTTTATGCTTACCGGAAAGCCAGGATATCCGCGTGCACCTTTTGGTCCCTAAAATGAATTATTTTAATTTATAAAGTATAAATTACCAAATAATTGAAATAATAAATTTTTAATACACAAAAATGCAACACAATCAAGCAATACAATACAGGAAAACACAAAAAAAAAGAGAATTTAAATGGTATACTTACACTGTAGCATGCTTAATTAAACTTTTGAAAATCAAGTTTGAAGTGAGAAATGTCACACCAATCTTTCATATGATAAAGCTATGATATTGTGCTTTTGAACAGATTATTGATCACTCTTTTTTAAAAAAAAAAAAAAATTAATTATCAAGAATTTTTGATAGGTTATTCATCTTTTTTTTTTGAGATGAAAATATTGAAAAGTTTTGGGAAGTATGAAATTTAAATAGTATTGAATTTATATCAATTTGCAAAAAATGAATAATGACTTTGTTTGATAATAAAGACAGTTAAAAAAAAAAATTAAACGATAAGCAAAGGATAAGAAAGAGCACGACCAACATACAGGTGGACCCGGTGGTCCCGATATACCGCGGAGTTGTATCGCCTGTCCATTAGGTGTATACAAAAAGCCAAATGATCGTAAATGACGATGCTTCAAAGGCTGCAATTTACCAATGGAAAACGTGAACAATTATCACAAACATTTATACAAATTTAATCATATCACAAATATTTTTAATTATCATGCAAACACTCCAATTGATATGAGTATAGGTAAAATAAATGAAATAAATTTAATCCAATTCAATTTTGAATTAATGTTGAAATTTTAAAAAAAAGAGAGAGAGAGAGAGAGGGGGAAAGAATAATTATGAGCATTCTTCAGTAAAATTGGATTAGAATTACTTAACATCAACTTAACAAATAAATTATTAATTAACATGCGTGCTGTAAAATAACAAAAAAGTGTTCATGAAATAAAAGAAAAATGTTAAAAAATGAAAATAAAAACAAATGAATAGTAAAATTATAGAAGCAAATAAAAACATACCATTGATCCTGGTATTCCTGGTTCACCTTTTCGACCTAAAAAAATTTCAAAATTACTATCTTTTCTTTTTTCTAACTTCAATTCAGTTCTGTTAGTTCTGTTACAAATTCAAAAATTTCATTTCGAATAAAATAGTAATTTTCTTTTTTAAAATTTTTATGTTTGATTTTGATTTTTTTTTCCCTTCCTCCCATTCTTTTTTACGCTCTCAACTACTTCAAAACTTAAAAGAGTTGTTTTAATTTTATTAGTCACTATATCGTTCGTCGTTTAAATGTTGGAATGGCAAAGGAAGAAGGAAGGAGGAAAAAAAAAACAAAAAGTTTTTTGAAAAGCACTTCAAAACTTTCAAAGACGTGAAATTTTCACATCATTAAAATTTTCTTAAATGCACCAATTGTTTTGCTTACTGACAGTATATGGCGAATCAGTAAAAAAAAAAAATTGGAATAAATAAATAAAAAACACCAAATAGTAGCGGTCAATACAAAGGCATTTTTTTCTTTTTCATTTTTTTT